ATTTTTCCACGAGTAGTTATAAGTTGGCTGTGTTCATGGGAGGAGGTGAGTTCGGAGTCTGCTTACGATGCCATCTTGACTTTTCTCCTAAGATGGATATTAAATAAAGGCTTGTTGGTAATGGGAACCTCTCAAGGAAAAACTCACAAAATTCTTGTGCATGGGTCAAACATTTAAAGGCTGTTAAAACACTTGCTGTCTCCTAACCACACAGCAAGTCTCTCTTAGGTATTAATTTGGCTCAGATCACCCAAAAGCCTTAGATAAGAGAAATGAAACCATCAAGTTTCAAAGAATTGAGTGCACCAGCTTCTCACACATCTGTTTATTTTATATCCAAGAATTGTGGTCCCGGGAGTCATAGATATTTGTAAAAATGGCGAAATTTGACTAGAGACAACCTAGAATCACAATGGTCATTATGGGGAACATTCCAATTAGATAAAATCAATGCAGAAGCTTAGAAAACTCTTCAACATTCAGCATTGAAAGATTCACTGCAAAAGATTCAAAAAAATTAAAGAGATAAGAGGTATCTAAAACAAAAGACTGTAAGACCAATGTAACACTGACAGAACACCTACTGCCCCATCTATCCTTCTGTACTTGAGTACTTATTCTAATAATCTTATGTCTGAATTGTTTTTACACTCTGAAAAGACAACATGATCATAAAAAACGCTGGCCAAGTTAATGGCCTTACCGACACCCCATATCTACCTTTGAAAAAGGATCCCTGTATGGGCTCCTACCAATGTTGACAGGACTCTGAGGGATTTCTTGTTAAACTGCTATATTATTCCCTTAAACTCCCAAGGAGAAACTAAAGTTATAATTAATGAAGTTGTCCAATACTACCAGATATATTTACTGTTTGTTCTAGTTGAAACCTGATGAGATATTTACAAGGATTTAATAACTTTATGATCAGAAATTTGGCCAAATCAAAAACTGATAAGTAGAGCTTGACAGGAAGTTTTTTGCAGGCCTTCTCCACTAAGCTGAAATAAAGCTATATACCCAGAGGGAAAGAAATATTCCAATAGGTAGATGAGTATGTCATTCCTTTTTGCCAATCCCAAAACTTTCCATATTCATCTCAAAAGAGTTGCACATATTTGGATCTTAGAAACACAACTGTTCTGCAAATATGCCCCCAAAACTCCATCTTGAAGAAAACTTGGATAACTTCTCTGTACCTTTCTGATGTATATTTTCTACCCACATCTCCTCTGGGACTTAAGAGTCATTCTTTGAAATGCAATGTTTCTCATCAGAAGGAAAATAAAGGAGAGAGAAAGTATTTGGAAATTGGGTTAATTAGAAATCATAAAAATCTTCTCCACAAAAATTAGTAACTATAAGGTCTCTGTGTCTGTCTATGTATCTATCTCTACATCTATATATATGTATTGTTGATGTGTGGTATTTTCTACTTCCATAAGTTATTGCTAAAATTAATTTGTAAAAGAGCTCTATTTAATTAAGTTAAAGGTCAAGCACTTGTAAGGATTGGGTATTTTAAAGTTCTCAGAAATATAGCACAAACTAACCCAAATTTTTTCAAGTTCAAGTGATCTGGGAAATACCAGGTGGAAAATCTAGCTTAAGGTTGTTGGTTTAATTAAACAGACCTATCTTTAAAGATACTGACATTGAATAAAATGGAGATAACTTTTATTCTACCCGGATTAACTAGTTAAATTTATGTTATTTCTGTTGCAAATTTTTCATCAAAAAATAATTTAAAATGATAGCTGATTTTGTCCAATATACAATATACAATTTGTGGGTAATCTAAATGTAATTATTGACAGAAAATCATTTAGATATATGAATTGAGATAAAAGTTTATAAACTTTTTAGCAACAATTAAATCTTATGGCATCTTACTTAAAAATAACTTCCAAAATTTTTTTGTTAACTTGAAACTTTAGGGTTTTGCTAAGTTAAATTATATGAGAAATTTATTAAATATCTAGACCATTTTCAAATAAGATAAAATAGTGAAACATTAATTATTGAACACAGGTTTATTTACCCTTGACATCCTATGACAGAGAAACTAAAGGTAAATTTGGATTTATTAGTAAACGTGTTTCATGCCACACTGAGAAATTTTCTATGAAAAAGCATTATGTTTCTAGAAATTGTAAAAAAAATTTATAAATCTGCCAATCCACAGACTTCTAAAATAAAAGACAGCTTATAATTGTTTATTGCCTTATTTTTCACTTAGAAATTAAGGTTTTTAAAGGTAAAAATTCTAGTATGAAGACACATTTTGTTAATTGAGATTAATTTTGTTAATTAATCACCTCATCAGAGACTGAAACTCACATAGACAAAATCAGACAACAAGCTACCTGGCTACAGCAGGTATCCATAGAAGAACTGGACCCAGACTGGTTTTCAGGACTATTTTCTTGGATTCCCAAGGGATTAGATCTATTTTTCAGGGACTATTAAAATTTGGGTTCTCTATATTTCTTGTCCTTCTGGTCAGAATCTTAATTATAAAATGTGCCTTTAAATATTGTACCCAAACTATTGAATAAGGTACAAAAATTCTAATAATGCAAAATTTCAACCTGAAGCTGAGAACAAGAGAATGTTTCCAAATGAGTGCTAAACAGTTCCATTCCTCTAACCCAGATCTATGACTCAACTCAGCAGGAAGTAGCTAGATCGGTCATCACCCTGAATCCCTCAAGAATGAGGAATGACCAAAGAATAGGGGTGACTGAAACCTGCAAACAGCCATTAATGATTAGGTAGCTAGTAACTCCTCTTTTTTTTTTTTTTTGCAAATGCAAATTATAGCTTTTAGTTGTTCATCTACCCATTGTTAACTGTGTTGCTTAGGCAATATATTAACTGGCTCCCACTAGGTTCCTATAGATAATATCTCCCCGGCACCTGGGTCATCATGGTAATGGGTATTTGAGCTGTTTTTCAGGAATTAGGACCCCCTTATCCAGTTCAGGCCAGTTGAGACCACCAACTCATTAACTGGGCCTGTGTGGGTGCTCAAGTGACCTTTTTGACATCAAGAAGCTAAAAACTCCACCCTCAGATCATGGGAACACCACCATTTTTTGAACATGCATCTTATGAAGAGTCATGGAGCTGGACAACACTTGTGCCAATCATCACTTATCTCACTTCTCCTTACCTACAATCATCTATGCCCACACTTCAGACCATCTTTCTCCCTACCCCATAAATATCCCGGAGTCCCCATTTTCAGGGAGGCAGATCTGAGATTGTTTCTCCTGCCTCCTCACTTGGCTGACTTGTGACTAAATCCTTTCTCTTTGCAAACTCGTCATCTCAGTGACTGGCTCAATCATGTGGCAGGCAAAATTTACCTGCTTTGGTTACATTGTATTATATCAAAAACTTTTAATGCATGTTTGCAGTTGCTAACCACCAAACAAACGATCTCCCTAGACTGAAACATCAGAGAAGGAACAAAGAAAATGATCCACTTAAAGGCTGTGAACCTGAAGACATGACATGTAATTAGCACCAGGATTAAGCAAAATCATCATGACCTGCAAATATCACACAGAAGAACAGAAAAAACCATGGGAACTATGGAACAGTGGTTGAGACTGATGCTAATGCCTTAATTTTTTTTTAAATCACATCTCTCAGTGTGGCTGAGAGTTTTAATCAGAGAAGGGGAATTGATAAAACAAAGAAATAACAAGGCCAAAATGGTCCTCATGACAGCAAACCAAGGTTTAATTACAGTATCAGCCCTCCCAGGAATGTGACCTTTAAACAGTCAATCTGAAGTTTCCTGAGTTGCACAAGTAAGGTAATCTGCAAGATAAAACACATGCCAGTTCCCTTTCCCCCAATAAGGTGTTCTGGCCCAAAATAACACTTTGTTTTCTTCTGGTAATGATGTCCTTACCCCATGCTCTTTCCTATAAAAACTTTCCATTTTGTATACTTCCTCATAGTGCCCTTCTAGTATCTGGATGAGATGCTACTTGATTTATGAGTTGCTTAAGAAAGCCAATTAACATCTTCAAATGTACTCAGTTGAATTTTGCTTTTGAACAGATGGTACACAAATTATATCTCAATGAAGCTGTAAACAAAGAAATTTCTAGTAGATGATTTAGTGATAATAAATAGTGCTATGACATTTTATCCCATATTTTCTCTTCAATTCTTCCCTAGCAGATTGTGCATGTACCAGATAGGAATTTTACGAGGTCATGGTATAAATCTCCCTCACTTACTGGAGTTTAAGAGCCATGAAAACCTTGTCTGACACATTACTGTATTCCTAGAACTAGCACAGAAAAGGTCCTCAAAAATGTTATCTGAATGAATCAATAAGCCAATAAAAATAAATCTTTATATGAGCTTTACCACTGGTTTACCCTTCGGGCCTCCATCACTGCCTACTCTGCCCCGATTTCAAGTAAGTTATTTTCAGTGTGAATTTGTGATATGATTTGAACCGACACAGAATGTCACTTATGAAAACGGAAGGATTGCACCACATTTCACTAGCTTTTATTTAACTCAGGATTGTTTTCATTAACTCTTTTAATCAAAGTTCAGTGCTAAACAAGCAAAATGCTTTCTCTATTTTCAAAGAAAAATCAAAAAGCATTTCACTTTTGAGTCTCACCAAGTAGATTTTCTGGTAGAACTACATACAATGTAGCAGGTTTATTTTTAGATTGTTTACTAAGATTCTGTAGATCAAAGTCCAATGTTGACTTTTAAGGGCTGCTGGGGACAAGATCTTTTACAAAGTACACCATTAACAGATTTAACTGTCAATTGCTGGAAGTACATCAGCAAAATAATTCTCCATGTAACTAATGAGAATAGCTACTAAACTGACCCTAAAACAATTTGGAGAAACAGCTTCCAAAGCCCTGCTTTGGAGGGGTGACAGGGCCAGTTGAGGACAGAATGCGGCCCTCACACACTCGGTGTGGAAAAAACATTTTCTCCCCTTGAACTTTTATAGATAAAGTCATTTTACCTCATCTTGGGGATCACCTGCACAGCCTCAATGGCCTTTCAGGACCTCTTGGATCAAGTTGGAGGCCTGGGGAGATTCCAGATTCTTCAGATAGTTTTCCTTTCTATCTCCAACCTCATAGTATACCCTCATACGATATTGGAGAACTTCACTGCTGCCATCCCTGGTCACCGCTGCTGGGTCCACATCCTTGAAAATGACACTGTCTCTGCTAATGGCACTGGGACCCTCAGCCAAGATGCTGTCCTCAAAATCTCAATTCCACTGGATTCAAATCAGAGGCCAGAGAAGTGTCATCGCTTCCTCCACCCCCAGTGGCAGCTCCTTCATCTGAATGGGACCTTCTCTAATATGAGTGAGCTGGACATGGAACCCTGTGTGAATGGCTGGGTGTATGACCAAAGCTCCTTCTCCTCCACCATTGTGACCGAGGTAAGAGGCCCCATGTATGTTCTGTGAGTACATAGTGTGGGTGTTTAGAGGTACAAAAAATAATGAAGATACTTCAAGCCTTTAGTCACAACACAGCTACTCATTCTTCACTGTTTCAGCAAATATTAATTACTTCTCTATTAAATGCTGGCCACTTTCCTGAATAATAATATGAATGAAATAAAAAATAGACATGAACCCTGCTATTGTAGTGCTTTTACTCTTGGAAAGACCAAGTTTAAGCAAGCAATTTATGTAATGTGTTAAAAACGTCATGGTAGGTCGGTAATGCTTACCATTTGGTTGCAAATTATAAGTATTTGAGAGCTTGATGAAAACCTCCAGGCTCAGACTGTACCCCAGAGCAGTCAAATAACAAGGTCTATGATGAAATTCAAGCATGAATAAAATTTTAAAACTAAAATAATTGCACTCTATGGCCAAGATTAAGAACCAGTTAGCATGGAGTAAAACAGGGCATTAATAAAACCTACAATTTTAGAAGAGGCTTCCAGAAAAGTTATATTTAAACCAAGATCTGAATGAGAAGGTCAGCTAATATAGAAAGGGAAGCTGGAAAGGAAGATAGGGACCCAATATTCTAAAATTCACAAGTAATGTTAAAGCGTTTCCACTGTGGGCTTATAAGCTGCCGTAGAGCTCTCCTTTGCAAGTTTGCTTCTCTTCCAGTGGGACCTGGTATGTGAATTTCAGTCACTGGACTCAGTGTCTAGATTCTTATTCATGGCTGGAGCGCTGGTGGGAAGCATCATATATGGCCATTTATCAGACAGGTGAGTGTCTCTGGATCACAGCTCTCGTTACTCCTGAGTATTTTCATCCTTTCATGAATCATTCTTACATTAGGAAATAAATATTGCAAATTACCCTCTTCTAGAGCTACCTTGGTCTCCAGTGTTCTAAAAATACAAATGGAGAATTAATCAGCGTGGTGAGAGCTATTTTTATAAAATTGAGATTGGTGTACAGGACACAGTATGATATTTCCATCAAATCTGAAACCACATCAGGACAGGACACTGTCCTGTACATGTTATTTCTAATACACTATAGCATGTACATTAGAAACATGACAAAGTGTTACCTATGGGAATGGAGAAGAAAATATTTCATGGTATGAGATTCAGCCTGTTTGAGACCCAGATATGGAAAACTACTTTGTTGGCCTTGGCCAGAGGTGCTATGTTCAGTCCCTCTTGGACCCTGTGAGCTGAATGGTTGTGGCTTCCCAGAGAACGGTCATCATGGCCTAGTTGCTCTAGTGTGATGTGTAGATTTTTCTATAAAACCTGTGGGGTATAGAGAAATGTGTTATTGGTGGTGTGTTGAAAATTTATGCCAGTAACCTCAACTTTTGCTTTTGCAAAAACAGGTTTTTAAAGGTAAGTTTTGCAATCACGTAAAGTAATTAATCTAATCACAATTGCTGTCACAGTTTGTCATGTGAGTAATTTGGGATAGTCTGTGCCTTACAGTACCTCTTCTGAAAGAGACTTCCACGGAAATCATTGCCAACACCCAACCATGTCTCTCCTGAGGGAGATAGAGAACATGAGGTGCCCCTTACCATTCACCAGCATAATATTAACTGTTGTCTCAGCTGAGAAATGTGAACACTAAATATATCACAGTAAATGTAACATATAAGTGAGTTCAGAGACAGCGTGTTCATTTTCAGCAGTCCAGTAAGACAGTCTTTGATGGTGTCATGAGAAATTATGGATATATTGATTTTTATGGATTGCAGAGTGGTTGAGGTGGGAGGTGGGCCTAGTAGCAAATTACAGTGGAGAACTAGCTTAAATTGAGGGGGTAAGATAATCTAAGGAATTTGAACTTCATCAGGAAGCTAAGAGGAAAAATGAAAGGATTATGCACATGAGAGGGGCATGAACACACTGTTACTTTGTAACTAACAGTCTCAACTATTTATAATATCCCAATACTGGAAACAATCTAGATGTCTATCCATAATAGAATAAGATGTAGGATATTCACACAATGAATTAATATACAGTAAAGAAAATGAACAAACTACTCTGCAGTAACATGAATGAATATCAAAACCATGTAGTGGGGCAGAAGAAGCAAAATACAAATGATTACATGCTAGACAATTACACTTTGGTAGATTCAAAAACAGGCAAGTTATACTATGTCATTGGAAGTCAGAAAATTGGTTCTATTTAGAATTTTATTGGGTTTGCCTTGAATCTACAGAGCAGTTTAGGTTAGATTGCTGTTTTGAACATTGATTCATCTTATCTTTGAACATTATGGAGCTCTCTGATAATTTAGATTATTTTAATGTCCTTTCTCAGTGGTTATAGTTTATAGAAACAGTCATGCATTTTCTATTAAATGTGTTTCTAATTAACTTGGTTTTTCAGGCTATGAAGTTGTTTTTTGTAACTTTAATTTCTAATTATTTATTGCTGCTATGTAGAAATGCATTGACTTTTACATACTGACCTTACCAACTTACCAATTTATTTATTAGTTCTAGTAGCTTTATTGTGAATTCCTTAAAGATTTCTACTACACTATCTCTTCGTCTGCCAGTAAGGATAGTCTTACTTACTATTTTCCTATCTTCTTCCTTTCACGCTTTTTCTGTAGATACCTAGAATATTCAGTATCATGCTTAATGAAACTGGTCAGAGATAATCTTGCCTTACTCTGACCATAGGTAGAATGCATTGATTCTTTCAAACTTGAGTATAATGTGAGCTGTAGGATTATAGTAGACACCCTTAATGAGATTTAAGATGTTTTCCCCTTTTTCTGGTTTTCCGAGTATTTTGTAAAATTATTTTATTGAGGTCATAATGGAATATAACATCGTGTAATTTCAGGTGTACATTATTTTTTATCAGTTTCTGTATAGACTGCATCATGTTCACCACCAATAGTCTAATTTTTATCTGTCATCATATGTATGTGCCCCTTTACCTCTTTCACCCACCCTCCAACCTCCTTCCCCTCTGGAAACCACCAATCTGTTCTCTTTATCCATGTGTTTGTTTATCTTCCACATATGAGTGAAATCGTGCATGGTTTGTCTCTCCTTGTTTGGCTTATTTTGCTTAACCTAATGCCCTCAAGTCAATCTGTGTTGTTGCAAATGAGATGATTTTGTCTTTTTTATGGCTGAGTAGTATTCCATTGTATATATATACTACATCTTCTTTATCCATTCATCAGTTGAAGGACACTTGAGTTGCTTCCACATCTTGGCTGTTGTGAATAATGCTGCAATGAACATAGGGGTGCATAAATCTCTTTGAATTGTTGATTTCAAGTTCTTTTGGATAAATACCCAATAGTGGGATAGTTGGATTGTATGATAGTTGTATTTTTAATTTTTTGAGAAATCTCCATACTGTTTTCCATAGTTGCGGCACTAGTTTGCATTCTCACTAGCAGAGTATGAGGGTTCCCCTTTCTCCACATCCTCTCCAACATTTCTTACTTTTTGTCTTGGTAATTATGGCCATTCTGACAGGTGTAATGTGATATATCATTGTAGTTTTGATTTGCATTTCCCTAATTAGTGATGTTGAACATCTTTTCATGTGCCTCATGGCTATCTGTATATCTTCTTTGGAAAAACGTCTGTTCGTGTCCTCTGCTCATTTTTTGATTGGGTTGTTTGTTTTTTTGTTGTTGAGTTATATATGTTCTTCATATATTTTGGAAATTAATCCCTTGCCCAATATATGATTTGAAAATATTTTATCCCAGTTGGTGAGTTGTCTTTTCATTTTCTTCATGGCTTCCTTTTCCTTACAGAAGCTTTTTAATGTGATGTAGTCCCATTTGTATATTTTTTCTTTTGTTTCTTATGCCTGAGTAGACATGGTATTGGAAAAGACGCTGCTAAGACCGATGTCAAAGAGTGAACTGCCAATGTTTTCTTCTAGGTGTTTTATGGTTTCAGGTCTTACTTCAACTCTTTAATGCATTTTGAGTTAATTTTTGTGTATGGGGTAAGATAATGATCTACTTTCATTCTTTTGCTTGTGGGTGTCCAGTTTTTCCAACACATTGAAGAGATTTTCCTTTCTCCATTGTATGTTCTTGGCTCCTTTGTCAAAGATTAGCTGTCCATAGATGTGCGGTTTTATTTCTGGGCTTTCAACTCTGTTCCATTGATCTGTGTGTCTGTTTTTGTACCAGTACCCTTCTGTTTTTATTACTATAGCTCTGTAGTATATTTTGAAGTCAGGGATTGTAATGCCTCCAGCTTTGTTCATTTTTCTCAGGATTGTTTTAGCTATTTGGGGTCTTTTGTTGTTCCACATCAATTTTAGGATTCTTTGTTCTATTTCTCTGAAGAATGTCACAGGAATTCTGATCAGGATTGCATTGAATGTGTAGATTGCTTTAGGTAATATGCAAATTTTACTATGCTTATTCTTCCAGTCAATGAGCACGGAATATTTTTCCATTTCTTTATGTCATCTTTGATTTCTTTCAATAATATTTTATACTTTTCAAGGTACAGGTCTTTCACCTCCTTGGTAAATTTATTCCTAGATATTTTATTCTCTTTGTTGCAATTTTGGAAATGAACCCTTTGTCAGATATATGATTTGCAATATTTTGTCATTATAATTTTCTCTTTTAAATGGGATTGTTTCCTTGAGTTCTCTTTTTGCTAGTTTGTTATTAGTGTTTTGAAATGCAAGTGAGTTTTGTAAGTTGACGTTCTACCCTGCAACTTTGCTGTAGTTGTTGATTATTTCTAATAGTTTTCTGGGGGATTCTTTAGGATTTTCCATGTGTAGGATCTTGTCTCCAGCAGACAACAAGAGTTTCACCTCCTCCTTTCCAATTTAGATAACTTTTATTTCTTTTTCTTGCCTAATTACTCTGGCCAGATCCTCCAGCACTATGTTGAATAGGAGTGGTGAGAGTGGGCACCCTTGTCTTTGTCCTGTTCTCAGAAGGATGGCTTTCAGTTTTTCACCATTGAGCATGATATTGGCTGTGGGTTTGTCATATATGGCCTTTATTATGTTGAGGTACTTTCTTTCTATACCCTTTTTATTTAGAGTTTTTCATCATAAATGGATGTTGGATCTTGTTAAATGCTTTCTCATCTATTGAGATGATAATGTGATTTTTATTCTTCATCTTATTAATGTAGTGTATCACATTGATTGATTTGTGGATGTTGAACCATCCCTATGTTCCTATTATAAATCCCATTTGATCATGGTGTATGATCCTTTTAATGTATTGCTGTACTTGGTTTGCCAATATTTTTTAGAGGATTTTTGCATCCATGTTCATTAGCAATATTGACCTGTAATTTTCCTTCTTTGGTTGTCCTTGTCTGGTTTTAGTATCAGAGTGATGTTGGCCTCATAGAGTATCAGGAAGTCTTCCATTTCTTCTTCAGTTTTTTGGAATAGTTTGAGAAGGATAGATATTAAATATTCTTTGAATGTTTGGTAGAATTCTCCAGAGGAGCCATCTGGTCCTGGACTTTTGTTTTTTGGTTATTGTTTCAATTTCTTTCCTTGTTATTTGTTTATTCCAATTCTTTATTTCTTATTAATTCAGTTTTCGGAAGTTGTATCAGTCTAATAATTTGTCCATTTCTTCTACAATTTGTTGGCATATAGTTTTTCATAGCATTCTCTTATTCCTTTGTATTTCTGTAGTTTCCATTGTAATTTCTCCTCTTTCATTTCTAATTTCATTTATTTGAGCTTCTCTATTTCCTAGTGAGTTTGGCTAAGGGATTGTCAATTTTGTTAATCTT